AAATATACCGGTTAACAAAGCAAGGATAATGTTGGGATCTTGCATTATTCCTTCATGCCTTATCATAGTGTGCTTGCTAGAACCCATGGGTTTCTTATGGCTACCTTTGTTACACAGGATGCTACCTCAAGAATTTGCTTCAGGAACATCAACCAGTGCATCTAGGTTGTGCCCCACAGACCCATCCTCTACAGCAGGAACCAGTGTAAGAGGAAAAAACCTCACCTTCCTGCAAATCCTCCTCATCAGATGAGGGTCATGCCTACTTCAGCATCCTGTCCTACTGACTTTAAGGCCTTTCAAGAGTCCATGAAAAGGGTAGGAGGCACCTTACAAGTCCTGGTAAAGGAGATTTGGATTTCCTGACGCTCCTTGTTGGATAACCTACATTCACCTCAGGGCAAGATTGTCTTGCCCATCTGTGAAGCTTTGCTTATTCTATTCCGTGGCAAATGGAGTGTGGTGATCTCCATCCACTGTTGCACTTCTGTATAGATTAGTCTACAAAAAGTATTCTATCCCTCCCAGAGGCTCAGTATTTATTCTCTCAGCTCTCTGGTGGTCAAGACTTCTAATGAATGGAACAGACCTCATTAGTCCTGTTCAACACCATTGGACAAGGATCTAAAATGATTGGATCTGCTGGGTCATAAGAATTGCTAGTTGGCTTCCTGGTAGTTCAGAGTGGCCTGTTATCAAGTCCCGATGGCTAAATGTGACTTCAGTTTATTAAAAATTTTCATCTTATCGAATATGTGCCTCAGGAGCAGAGAGAACATTTCAGGCCCTCATTGCAGAGGGTCAAACAGCTGCCAAGGCATCTCTCCAGGGTTTGTACAATTGTCAGTTGCATATAACGGTCTATGGTTATGGCCAACCTTCCTAGCTGTGGTTTTCAGGCCTCCCATGGGAGGTACAAAATACTATAGAGGACCTTCATTTTGAGGGCCCTCAAGTTGTTAAGTGACAACCTGGATGGGTCCCAACATTCTCTGAAGAACTAGTGGGTGACACTAAGTTCTCTAGGCAGCTGTATACCTGCAAATAAAGAAAATACATCCGGTTACAGACAGCTCAGCAGTTTTGCCCAGTCCACTACCAACCTATGAGAATGGCTGAACTTCCCATGCACATGCAGAAGAGACCCAAATTCCCTAAGGAAGGGATTTCCCCTTCAGCAACCTCCCAGCCAGTGACATCTTCAATGTCTGTTTTGATCCATTGGTTGATGGTGGTAAACTACTTCTTGCTGTGGATCTTATATTGCATTTATTCCCCTCCCGCCCTTATGGGGAGTCTCTCTCCTATTACCTATCTTCCTGGGAGCTCATCACTTTGGACAGATGGATCCTAGAAGCAAGTTTCACAGGCTTCTCCATCCAGTCCAGCTCCTTACCACCCCATTCCTCTTTACGGACCCTTCTCACCAAGACTTCTTAAGGCAGGAGGTAAAATTCCTCCTGGCTTTGGGGGAGATTGAAGCTGTCCCATCAGACTTAATTGTGAGAGGATTCTGTTTCATCAGGATAGAATTCTCTTCTTGGTATTTTCTTGTCCAGAAGGCACCCCATGAGGGGTGTGGGGAGCACACCAATTCTAGACCGCAGGACTTAAAACACCTCCATCTGCTCCTGATCGTTCAGAATATGACCCTAGGACCAATAATTCCCTCTATCTGGGAGGCTTTATTCCTTGAACCTTCATGATTCTTGTTTCCATGTCACCATTCATCCCTCACAGAAGCAATTCCTATGCTTTATGGTAGGCAAGGACCACCTTCCCATAAAACGGTTCTGCACTGCAAAATGTATCAAGAACCTATTCAACCTCTTCTCTCCTATCCAGGAAGTAACACCAGCATGGGACCTCACTCTAGTTATCAATGCTCCGAGGAAACCTCTATTCGAACCTATGGGGAGTTGTTCCCTCCTTCATTTGGCCCTTAAGACCTTATTCCTCGTACCCATTATTTTGGCCAGGAGCGTAAGAGCTTGGAAACTTGATGGTGGACCCAGTGCTCTACCAAAATAAGATGACTTAGTTCCTAAGTCTTTTCTGAATTGCATGTTAAGCAGGAGATTAATCTACCAGTATTTATGCCAAGCCTCACTCTTATAGAGAAGAAGTGAACCACCATACACTTGATGTTTAAAGAGCTCTTGGCTTTTACCGTGACAGGAGTAGGCCCTTTTGGGTTTCCCCTAGACTTTTCATCTCTGTTGCAGAAGGAATGAAAGGGGACATCTGATCTGCACCCAGGGGCTGTCCAAATGGGTTGAAGGTTGCATCCTCTCATGCTACGAAGTTTCATTGTTAATCCACCCTCCTCCCCTGAGAGTTACTGCTCATTCCACCAGGACTCACTCTAGCCCCTGTCAATTATATACCCATTTCAGACATTTGCAGAGCAGCCACCTGGTCTTTGTGACCCATGTTTTACCAGCAGTATACTCTTTCATGCCTGCCTCCAGGACAGACATGGCCTTTGATGTTGTCCTGTGATCCATCCTGAATCCACTTCCTCGGCACCCTGTTCCCTGATGGGAGTCTGCTGACATGGAGCACCCATAGGGACACTACTCAGGTAATCTCTCCTCTTTCTTTACCTTGTATAGTAACTGGAGTTCTTCCAGACGTATGTCTCCAAGGGTATGCCATTACCCAACATCCTTCCCCTCTGCCTCGGAGCCTGTCTTGAAACATTGGTGGTTGAGAAGAAATTGCACTGGCACTGGGTGTGCCCTCCCTATATATTCTTGAATCAAGGCACAGGGGTGTTCAGGGTTCAGATATGGATCCATAGACACTGCTGAGTGAAAACTCCTCTCTGGGCATGTGCATATCCTGATGTGGAGCACACATTGGGGGAGGGGAGGCACCTTTCGAAGAACTCCAGTTACTGTAAAAGGTAAATAACCTCTCCGCTCCTTTTTTGGTTAGTTGTAACCCCTGTATGCCCTAAAACCATCTAATTTCTTAATTAACAGTGAAGGATCATTTAGGGGTTCCCCTAAAGAAAAGTCTCTCAGCACATTAACAAAAAACAGCTGACAGAGCCCATGCATATGTGAAATCATACAGGCTGTTCACGATACAAATGAATTCAATTGTAGGCTCTTGATAGTAGTCTGTCTCTCTTCCTCTAGAGATAGCTGTGCGGAAGTTAGGCATTTCCACTTGCATCAGCCTTGCATGTACTAACAAGATAGGTAGCAATAGGTGGTCCTTTGGGTTTTGTAACTTTGTTTCTACAATCGTCTGTTTTTCTGAAAATATTGCTCCCTAGTCTAAACTTTCAGATAAATCATAAGACATAATTTCAGGTCTTATTAAGCCCAAATGTATTATCCCGACTTTGTGTCTCAAACTTCCACTAATGGTGATTTGAAGGACTGAATTAATTAAATTGTCCTATTGACAGTAAAACTATATTGTTACTAGTAAAAAGTCTTTTATTAAAAATTTGACAGAACTTTGCTTTAGTTTCAGGCCACATTATTCCTTAACTTAATTCCATTGACATGATTTGGAGCTAAACCGGTGATAAAGTTGGCCTGTTTTAAGATTGCTCGTTCTTGTAAATGTCTTTGGAAAATGTGTCCTTCAATCCTTATTTCAAAAGATGGAAGATGATTTATTTACAGCCTACAAACCTGCAGAAGAGTACAAAGACTACTCATGAGGGCATTCTGCGCCAAAAAAGTCTGCACACAATATTTTAAAATTCTGCAAATGTTATTTGTCAAATAAATGTGGAGGCTCCAGCATGGCATGGGGAGCCCAGGACACTGGCTGCACAGAGATGGAAGATCACTGTGCAGCTACACCGTGCCCCCCCCCCCCGGGACACAGACTGAGCGGTGAGGCTTCACCCAACTGTGACATAGTGTGCCCCAGAAACACCCCAGGGCCCTACCCTATGTGCTAGGTGCAATAGGGCAGACAGAATCCAAGTGTGGAGGGGCTTAGTGTGGGGGAATCCAGGTGAGGGTTGAGAGGGTTCTGTGTGGGGCAATCTGGGTGCGGGAGGCTTAGTGGGGGATCTGGGTGCAGGGGGGGAGATCTGGATGCACAGGGACTTGTTGGACAGTTGTGGATGCAGTGTTAATGGAACTCTGCAGGAGGGTCCAGGTGAAGATGGTTGGGGCTCAGTGTGAGGTGTGGGTGGGGGCTCAGTGTGGGGATCCAGTGGGGTCAGGATCCAGGTGCAGCTGGTTGGGGCTTGGTAGGGTGGGTTGTTGGGGTGGTCCAGGTGCAGGGGGAGTGGGGCTAGTCCAGCAGATTCTGGGTATAAGGGGGTCTGGATGCACAGGGAGCAGCTCCGTGTACAGTGATTCCTCCCTCTGCAGCTGAGGAGCGATGGATATAGGAAGTATGGGGGATGATAGGGGGAGGGAGAGGAGGGAGTTGGCAGAGCTTCCGACAGCTGCGGGGGAAATCTGGGGATGGGTCTAACATGACCCCAGATGCCATGCAGGGGAAGAGGAAGTCCTGTTCTCCGTAGCCCAGCTGGGACTAGCAGCTGAGCCCAGCTCATGATAGGAGCCACCAGCCAGGTCTTTCCCAGTCCCGACCCCTGCCCCACAGTGATTTACCTCTCTGCCGGCTGCCCTGGGCACCCAAAACATACTGCCGGGGAGGGTTGCCTGACCGCTCCTATGGCTTCCCTTTGCTTCCCCCATCAGAAAGGCATTTTTCTGCAGGGAAACAAAGAAATCTGTGGGGAACATAAATTATGTGCAGTGGAGCAGAATTCTCCCAGGAGTAAAAGATTCAAAATTCCAACAGACTTGTAGTAGAAACAAACAAATTGACATGACATTGATATTATTCCTTTAACTGAAAGAATTTAATGTAACAAAATAATTGCATTCCACAGAGCAAGCTATTTTAAACATAAAATAATTATAGTTAAACTTTTTCAGATAATAAATTTTGAATTTAAATTTTATTGTGTACATTCTGAGAATGCTTAAACTTCCAAATATTGTCTAATTCAGGTTAGATGGGCAATGGCCTGAAGGTTTAATGTCTTCAAATAATACTCTGCATTTCAACAGTCCATTGACTTTCAATTATACTGGGACTTACGTCTGTAAGGTGACCAATTCCCTTGGACAAAGAAGTGATCAAAAGACGATCTACATTTTAGGTGAGTTGTTGTTTTTCCCTTCACTTCTTACGCATGCTTTGTTTAAAATATTGTGTCAGAAGTTGGATTAGGTGTCTAGTTGAATGTGTTTTTTAGCCATATTCTATAACAGGTTACCTAAAACTCAGTCTTTGATTAAAGATCATATAAAACTGGGAAGGACAAATGGAAATAAACCATTACCCTACTAGTATTGCTACTATTTCTAGGGGCTAATATCGTTGTTCCATCATGCATGCTGTCTGTAAATCGTAGAACTTAAAAGGACCACAGTAGTGTCTGAGATGATGTACTAGCCCTAAGTGCTGGTAAGGAGTTAAATAAAATTGCAGAGTTGGGGGCGGGAGGAAGAAATGTTATAAAACCCAAGCTTAAAACGCTTTCCTGAGGGAGTCTGGTTTTATTCCTTTATCCTCAGCTGAGCTGGTCAGAATAACAGTTACGCTGCTCATACACTCCTATGGAGCAAGCATAACGCTAATTACAAGGGGCAGAAATGGTTAGAGCACCTGGCTCCACCTGCCCCTTCCCGTCTGTGTGGTACTCTCTTGAGGGTGGAGTATTGCTGTTGGCAGACTTTTAGTTAGTATTTAAATCAGGAAAGCACTTATTACAGTGTTTCCGACGGTAAAGAATTTCAGTAGCAGACAGAAGTGCCATGTTACCATAGTACATATTCCTTTGAGTATAGCAGCATATTGAAAGAGTACCAGGGCCTAATGAAGATCATATGCAGTAGCATCAATAGTAGAGCTGAGACCCAACATTATTATATTACCATGATGATGGGGGTAAACTAAATGGAATTACTTAATTTTATCAATATGTGCAAATGTTTCAATTAACAGGTGGTAGCAGTATTCAGAACTTGAACTATAAATTCATTTTATTTTTTCTATGTTCTTG